TTAACGTTTACAAGCGCTATCTATTCGCGAAGTAGGTAACTAAAACTTAACCTCACAAAGAAATAAAAAAATTGAGGTAGGTATCTTTTTCAACCTTGAAGCACGCGCAACTAGTGGGTTGTACAGGGTGCTGCAATTTGGAGTGTTTTAACAGGAAAAACACACTTCCAGACCAGATAGAGGAAAATTGACTTAAAAGTCATGGGATCGATTTTCGAGAAACGTCGATTGTCAAAAACCGTATCGCGATATCTTCAATGGTACCATTAATACAGGCGATTTTCGATTTTCCCGATTATGAAAAATAGCTATAAGTTTTTTATTTATCAACAGTTTTCCAGAAAAAAAAATTATATCTGTTTCAGTCATAAGAAACAATGTGTTAGAAAGAGACCTTTCTCACTTTCCTTACACATATAAAATCCTTTTCTAACACATTGGTCCTTACGACAAAAACAGATATAATTTTTTTTCTCGAAAACTGCTTATTAGAGATAAACCTATCGAACTTTATATCATTAAAATCAGCAAAAACAGACCTATCCAATGAGCTATTAATATATAGGGTGCTTCATTTGAAAATATCGGAATTTGGTCGATATCTAGGAATAGGAGCGATATAGAAAAAAACCGAGTCCGCCACTGGATTGTGTTCAAAAAAGTGTCTCCATAATTTAATTAGAGCTTAATTACATCAAAATTGGATGAAAATTAACGGAGCTCTGAGGCAAAAACTGTCTCAGTGTCATTTTTGGAAAATTTTCAATGTTCGACACTTTCAATTTTGAAGCTTCTCAGAAATCTCAGGTATGAAAATGTTGACGCCAAATTGAAATTTTAATTAACAAATTTGTAGAGAATTTAATTGGCTTCAATTAGAGCTTAAGTACATTGAAATTGAATGAACCTTATAAGGGAGCTGTGAGGAAAAAACGGTCTCAGTGTCATTTTGGGAAATTTTTCAATGTTCGATAATTTCAATTTTGAAGCTTCTCAGGTGCAAAACTGTTGAGACCTGAGAACAAATTAAAATCCTAATTAATAAGTTTAAAGAGAACTTGATTGGCTTTAATCTTGACTTTAATCTCGGCTTTAATTAGACCTTAATTACATTAAAATCGGATGAAAATTAACGGAGCTTTGAGGTAAAAACTGTCTCAGTGTCATTTTTGGAAAATTTTCAATGTTCGATAATTTCAATTTTGAAGCTGCTCAGGTGTAAAACTGTTAAAGACAAATTGAGATCTCAATTAACAAGTTTGTAGAGAATTTAATTGGTTTTGATTAGAGCTTAATTACATTGAAATTGAATGGAAATTACTCGAGAAATTAAGGGAGCTGTGAAGCAAAAACTGTCTCATGGCCGTTTGCACCGACCATTTTAAGGAAGCCTTAGCAATAAGTATTCTTTAAAGTGACATTTCTCCATATAAAAATGTCATACGTACAAACGGTCAGTGTCATTTTTGGAAAATTTTTAATGTTCGATAATTTCAATTTTGAAGCTTCTCAGGAGTTAAACTGTTGAAGCCAAATTGAAATCTTAATTAGCAAGTTTGTAGAGAATTTATTTGGATTTAATTAGAGTTGAATTATATTGAAATTAAATGAAAATTAAGGAAGCTGTGAGGCAAAAATGTCTCAGTGTAATTTTTGGAAAATTTTCATTGTTCGATAATTTCAATTTTGAAGCTTCTCAGGTGCAAAACTGTTGAGACCAAATTAAAATCTTAATTGACAAATTTGTAGAGAATTTGATTGGCCTTAATTAGAGCTTAATTACATCAAAATTGGATGAAAATCAACGGAGCTGTGAGGCAGAAACTGTCTCAGTGTCATTTTTGAAAAATTTTTAATGTTCGATAATTTCGATTTTAAAGCTTCTCAGGTGTAAAACATTTGAAACCGAGTTAAAATTTTACTTAACAGGTTTATAGAGAATTTAATTAGCTTCAATTAGAGCCTAATAAAATTGAAATTCGATGAAAGTTAACGGAGCTCTGAGGCAAAAACTATCTCAGTATCATTTTTAGAAAGTTTTCAATGTTCAATAATTTCAATTTGGAGCTTTTCAGGTGCAAACCCGTTGAAACTAAATTGAAATCTTAATTAACACGTTCGTAGAGAATTTGATTGGCTTTAATTAGAGCTTTATTACATTGAAATCGGATGAAAATTAATGGAGCTTTGAGGCAAAGACTCTCTGAGTGTCACTTTTGGAAAATTTTCAATGTTCGATAAATTCAATATTGAAGCTTCTCAGGTGCAAAACTGTTGAAACAAATATACAAAACCCAAAAACTGAATAAAAATTCTCAAAAACCCGGGTTTTTGTCAACTCTGCTTTTGTCCTTACAAACAATAAATTCAAATTGTGACTTTCATAATAGATATTTTTGGAGCATTCAGTGCCGTACTCAGGAGGTACCTATCTCCTAAATAATATGTAAAAGGTAGTCAAATTGACCAACTTTTTTCCAATCTAATCAACATTGTAACTCCAACCGTTTCTCAGATCCTAATGCTATCCTATCCTTATCTTAGACACACTGTATATGTGACTAGACTGTTCAAAAAATTCAGAAAAATTTCAAGAATGCAAGAAAATCTGCAATTTTAAAATATATTCTTCCTTTTTGCAATAATTTTTCTAAGAAGGCATGATGAATAATTTTTGAATGTTGCTTCGATTATTCACCTTCCAATAATGTCTTTACCCTACATTTGATTCCAGCAGCAGGTAATATTTCTATTATGATAAAATGCAAATTACCACATAGTCAATTTTTAATAACCCAATAGGTACATAAGTATTTACCTGTCCTGAAAATTTTCTTGTAACTCAATTTAAATCTATAAATGATTCAGGTCATAAGCCCTTTGGATTGAAATTAGTCTTCAGTTCATTTGAGATACTTGCCAAGAATGCCAAGTCAGTATCTAAAATTTTCCAAAATTTCTCTTCGGTTCAACTGATTAATTTCAAAGAGTTCGAGTTAGTAAAAGTGTATCCAAGATGCCAATATTTCAAAGAAAGTCTCTGCCAGCTCAAAAACCAAATTACCAAAGTGCTTTTGGCAGTTTGAGAAAAAAGGCATCCAATGTAGAAGATTCTGGGCCTAAGCAACTAAAGCAACAAACTTCAATTGCTACACCACTGATTGGAAGACAAACTTTAACAATTAGAAAAGCTAAAGAAGTGAAGAAAAGCTGCATTCCAAGATTGAGAGTAAATAAAGAACATGTTAGCATCAAAAAGTCGCAGGACAAAATGATTCGGCAAAATACTTTTACTCTGGAAGACACCTCCAAAACTCCAAATGCATTGGTTCGAGAAAAAACATTTACCTTAGAAGATACCTTTAGAACTCCAATGGGCTTGGTTCGAGAAAATACCTTCACCTTAGACGATGCCTCTCGCAAGTTTTCCGATCATCCTGTAGTTGGAATTTCTATGAAAAACGTTGATACTGTTAGAGGCAGAAGAACACCATCACCTTTCAGAGAAAATAGTGAAATATTCAAGTTCCAGAAGCTACCTAGTTCGGTAAAGTTACCCAAATCGCGACTTAGTAAAGGTAATGTTTCTGATTCCAACTTGATGAAAGTACCCATACCCATTTATAGTTAAGGTTTTTAGAATGTGCTCGTAAACTGCTGGAACTTTTTGAAATTGTGGATTGATTTTATTTGTAATTTTTAAATAATTATGTAGGTACTCATCCTAAAACATTTTAATTTGTACCTACATACTAAAAAATTTATGAAACGGAAGTACTTATTATTGTTAATTAAATTATTATTGTAATTGCCATGTGCCACGCTCTTTTTCATTAATAAAGAATTTATAATTAAACATTTCTGTTTCATTGAACATAGTTGGAACCAGAAAAACCAAAACAAGCCGCTTATCACAAAATTCCAAAACAGTTCCTCCTTCAGAGCAAAAACTGAGAGAACCGTTCTACATAGAACAATCCCAGTTTTATTTTGTAGTACAATTAAGCGAGCAATTAAGTAACGGGATTGTATCCTGGATAATCCAAATCAGTTATTTTCAAGACATAAAACCTCGCATAAAACCCAAAGAAGAAACTGTAATTAATATTGTTTGCATTATAAAAACCAAGTAAGTAAGTACCTTATAGTTTTTTTCTTCCTTACATAAAATTGCTTAAAGATTTTCAAAATATTGACTTTAGAATTAAATCTCGAATTGAATATTCCATGACTGGGTTCAAGTGTGCCAACTATTGGAATATATTCGCCACATTTAAAATGACTTGCAAAACATTCCTCTAGAATAACAGACAAATATTTTGTTGAAATCGGTAAATAACTCGATCGAGATGTTTGAATAAGCCATAAATTCCCTAAGACTTTCATAATTTGAGCCACCCTGTGCAAGGGGCAAACCAACTAGGAATTCTTTGCCGCCCAAAAATGTGGGGAATTTGAAGGAACTCGTCGGAATTTATGAGAATTTGAGGAATTTATAGGGAATTCGGAGAAATTTATGGAAAATTTGGAGGAATTTGTGAGGTTCACATTCTTATCATAAGAAAAACTAATAAATGGAAATTTAAAAAAAAAAATCTAGTTTTGTGTTGAATGTTGAACATTCATTTATTTATTTATTTACGTATAAGAAAAATACATTTGAAGTTGAACAGAGTTTACATCATTCATTTTCATTAAAGAACTTCTCCCTAAATTTCACTTCATGATTTAAGTCCAAATTTAAAAAATTCAAAACAATAATTAGTAGGTACAGTTTTTGTAGGCTGATTTCCAAGATTCTTCATGTTGTTATTTTCCACTGAAAAAAATTGAAATTTTAGGAAAATTAACCTTTACCTTTCTACTTTTCACATACAAAAAGTTTCAAATTTTTGCCTTCACTAGTTTTCCAGGAAAACTTTGAAATGTGTGAAACGGTATTTTCAACTAATTCAGTTTTTGTAAGCTGATTTCCAAGATTTTTCATGTTATTATTTTCCATTGGAAAAATTTGAAATATTGGGAAAATGAGCTTCTCACCTTCCGCTTGGCATGTAAAAAGTTTCAAAATTTTCCCTTTACTAGTTTTCCAGCAAAACTTTGAAATGTGAGACTATATTTTTAATTAATTCAGTTATTGTGGATTAATTTCCAATATTCCTCATGTTATTATTTTCTACGGGAAAAATTTGAAATTTTGGGAAAATGAGCCTTTAACCCGAGCTTTAACCTTTCTACTCTTCACATGCAAAAAGTTTCAAATTTTTGCCTTCACTAGTTTTCCAGAAAAACTTTAGAATATATGAGACTCGGTGTGAGACTCAGTGGCGTATATACCGGTGTGCCATGTGTGCGAAGCACACAGGCCCGGACCCGGGAGGGGCCCGTGGAGCTCCATAGCGAAACTGCAAAAAAAAACGTAGAAAAATCGAGATTACACCAAGAAAAAAAAAGAAGCTACAGAAACTTCAACATACTGAAACAGGAGATCCTTCCAAGACCCAAAATAGGAATTCTAGGCTTCAAAAATTATTCGCATTTAAAAAAATTTCGGATGGATACGTCCCTGATACAATTTTGACACGTTGTTATGACAAAAGTGACAGAATCTCAGACAGAAGTGTCGTAGTCGTAACAATATGGCAGAAGTGGGATACGTTTTTTTCTCCCTATGTCGCCTCCTTATTATTCTACCTCAATGATTTTTCCTTAATTTTGCTGAAAGTCAATTTTCTTTGAATTTTTCCTGGAGTGATTTTTCACTGGAAAATTTCGAAATTTCCCTATAATGAGCTCCTCACTTCTCTCTTTATCCTGGAAAATTTTCAAAATTTTCTCTTTAGCAGTTTTCCAAAAAAAAAATTAAATGTGAAAGGATGAATTTTGCTTAGAAAAGTCAATTTTCCAGAACTTTCCTATCGACTTTCCTTAGAGTGATTTTTCACTAGAAAATTTTGAAAAATTCCTATAATAAACTCATTTTCATTTTTCTTCTGGAAAAATTTCACAAGTTTTGCTTTATTAGTTTTCCAGAAATAAATTAAAATGTGAGAGGATGAGTTTTTATTAATTTTACTTGAAAAAATCATTTTTTCAGAATTTTTCCTGGAGCGATTTTTCATTGGAAAATTTTGGAATTTTCTTATAATGAGCTCCTGACTTTCCTCTTTTTCCTTTTTCGCCAATTTTCCAGGAAACAATTGAAATGTGAGAGGATGAATTTTCCTTAATTTTCCCTAGAGTGATTTCTCACTGAAAAATTTCGAAATCCTATACTTAATGATGAGCTCCTCACTTTCCTCTTTTTCTTGGAAAATTTTCGAAATTTTCCCTCTGCCAGTTTTCCAGAAAAAAATTAAAATGTAGGAAGTGAATTTTCCTTAATTTTGCTTAAATAAGTCAATTTTCCAGAATTTTTTATGGAGTGATTTTTCATTTGAAAATTTTAAAATTTTTGCAATAATTTCTGTAATTTTCAATTTTTCGTAATTGTCCATAATTCTCGTAATTTTTCGTTATTCACGTAATTTTTCATAATTTCCATTTTTCGTAAGTTCTGTAATTTTCTGTAATATTGAGAAAATGTCCGTAATTTACAAATAATTCCTGTAATTTTGAATAATTTTGAGTAATTCCTGCATTTTTGGAATAATTCCTGTAATTCCCTTTATTTTTTTGTAATTCCAGAATATTTTTTGAAATTTTGAATTATGTAAATAATTCCTATAGTTTTGAATTGATAATTTAAAAAATATAAGAAATGCAAAAATTTCGGAAAATTTTACGAAAATTACAAAAATTGAAATTAGCAGAAATTACAAAAACTTCAAAACTACAAAAGGTTACTAGATTTTTAAAAAATTGTGAGAATTATTATGGAAATCACAAAAATTAGGAAAATTATGAAAATTCCATTAAAAAATTACGGAAAATACAGGAATACGGAAAATATAGAATTAATAAAAATAAATTAAAAAATTATAGAAATTTCAAAAATTACAGGGATCGCAAAAAAAATCGGAAAAATTGCAAAAATCACGGCTCAGTAGACCTGGCCCCCCCCAGTTGATAATTTTTATCCAAAACGCTAGCCCTCGTTCTCCAGAGCTAGCGCAACCTAGCGCAACTTTTTCGAAAGCTAGCGCAGCTACAGGTCAAAAGATATGTGGCTTTATATTCGGGGGGGGCTAGGGTGACGCTAGCCCCCCCCAGTTATTCGATCTTCTCAAAAATGCTGGCGCACATTCGTAATACCTAGCGCAGCCTAGCGGAAGTTGTGTCATAGCTAGCGCAGCTATCGTAGCTGTCATACAGGGTGGACAAAAAAAATCATGAGCCCCTACAAGTGATTTCTAATTTTTCAAAAATATATATGAAGCTTCCTTAAAGCTAGCGCAGGTAAAATTCGAGTAACCGCATTACCCCTTTAAAACATATACAGGTATTTATTCGGGGGGGGGGCTAGATCAATGCTAGCCCCCCCCCAGGTGTTAAATCCTTTTCAAAAGGCTAGCGCAAGTTCGTGACACCTAGCGCAAGTTGTGTCATAGCTAGCGCAGCTATCGTAGCTGTCATACAGGGTGGACAAAAAAAATCATGAGCCCCTACAAGTGATTTTTAAGCTCCAAGACAAGATTTAACGTTTACAAGCGCTATCTATTCGCAAAGTTATACTTTTTCCTTTATAGTCAGGCCGGAATCAGAACAAATCAGAAAACAGTGAAATTCAAACCTAATATGAGAAACACATACATGCCACGGCCTGGGATCACTAAATGCATTCAACCAACGTAATTCTTAATTGGTGATAAGAAAATGTACTAGCTCTTGCTTCACAAACCTGACAAACCCCACCGCCACCACCACTAAAAATGTCGACAATATTCAGTATCGATATATCGACGATCTAAATATCGATATGTCGTTGCCATCCCTAAACTCACTACAGTGACAATAAACCTAACACAGTGGCGACAATAGAGGTCCCGCCGCCACTTTGTGGCTTTTCTCATGCTAATTTTAAATACGAATATATTTGATGACCATTATTAGGTATATCAAATAAATTGTTCTCAATTTGTTATGATCGATGTACATAAATCGTATATATTCATATTTAAAATTAGCAAGAGTTACGCCACAAAGTGAACACAGTTGATTAATATAAACATATTATAGGATTTTAAAAAACCAGTCACTGTACAGGGTGCTGCAATTTGGAGTGTTTCAACAGGAAAAACGTACTTCCAGACCAGATAGAGGAAAATTGACTTAGATGTCATGGGATCGATTTTCGAGAAACGTCGATTGTCAAAAACCGTATCGCGATATCTTCAATGGTACCATTAATACAGGGCGATTTTCGATTTTCCCCTATTATGAAAAATGGCTATAAGTTTTTTATTTATCAATTTTTTTTATTTCTGTAAAAACATTATGGAGACACTTTTTTGAACACAATCCAGTGGCGGACTCGGTTTTTTTCTATATCGGTCCTATTCCTAGATATCGACCAAATTCCGATATTTTCAAATGAAGCACCCTATATATTAATAGCTCATTGGATAGGTCTGTTTTTGCTGATTTTAATGATATAAAGTTCGATAGGTTTATCTCTAATAAGCAGTTTTCGAGAAAAAAAATTATATCTGTTTTTGTCGTAAGGACCAATGTGTTAGAAAAGGATTTTATATGTGTAAGGAAAGTGAGAAAGGTCTCTTTGATTGGAAATGCAATTTTGGCTTCGAATGATCGATATTTGAATGGAGTTGTAGAAAAAATATTGTTTGCAACTCGGGCGCGAAATGTTTTTGGTGATCTCGAACTATTTTTTGACATTTCGCGCACTTGATACAAAAATAACTATTTTGTAGATTTTTTATTTCATAATTTGGGTGTTTTTATGAATTCTTAAACGCACTAGTGCTATTATGAAGGACCTAATGACATTCAAATGACAATGCTAAATGTGTCATAATGACATCGACGTACATTAATAAATATTAATGTGATGTTGAATGTTGTTGATATAAATAAATTACAGATGGTATATGCTTTTATGTACCTAAAAGGTGTACAGGGTGTCCCATTGAAGATGGGAATTGGGGTTATCTGCTAAACTCGTAGAGGTAGATTTTTTTTTTATTCCACATTCCCGGTCCAATTTTTTATGGCGAATCGAATGTCACAAACCGCAGGTCCCTATCTTGTTTCGTTTTGAAGATACAGAGTGAAACTTGAAATGTTCACTTTTCGAGGGTAGTCATTATCTAGCGCATGAAAAAAAATATCAAAAAGGTGAAAATTGTATCTGACGCAGTTTTTTACGTAGATTTCATTGGCGTAAGCCTCATAGGAACATGGAGGACTTGAGTCAATAGTTTGAGAGAAGATGACTTGTTAGCAGGACCGAGAGCAGAACGTATCTTTGTATTTCAAGCTTGTGTACCCTCATAACATCATTAATGGTTATATATCACACATACGGTACCGCTCATTACACCACTCGTGTGATTATCACGACTCGGTCTACGACCTCGTCTTGGCAATATTCTCCACTCATTACTGTAATGAAGCTCATACCGTACTGTACTAGTAATATTAATAACTATTAAATGTTTATTAAAATTGATAATGGTTCCGGGTTTATACGTACAATACAACAAATGCAATATACAGGGTGTCCCCGAATATGTGGGCAATCTCTCGGTTTCAGATAGAATACAAAAAAATAACATGACAACTTCCCATAAAAAAAAATTCCTACGGCCCCCCCTACGAAGTTACGTGAAAATCGGTTTTTTGTTGATAACTCTCAAAATACTTCCCAAGCAACACAAAATTGTTTAATATACGTATAATTTTTGTTTATACCACAAGTATATTTATGGTTTACAATAGTAAACCATAAATAAAAACCATAGGCAATAGCCTGCTATAATAAGTTAAAATGTCCGCCTGATATAAGTCGATATGTACCATAATTATGTACGAAATATAAACGTATACAAAAATGTTTATGAGGTTATGGTATAAAACGTATATATTTATCATAGAATTTACGTTAATTTAATTGTTATGATGTACTTATAATAAATGTATAGAAATTATGTCGAAATTATGTTTAATAATTTACTATTTAAAACGTGTATATTTAATTTAAAACTTACGTTATATATTAATGTGTTAGAAAAGGATTTTATATGTGTAAGGAAAATGAGGAAGGTCTCTTTCTAACGCATTGTTTCTTATGACAAAAACAGATATAATTTTTTTTCTCGAAAACTGTTAGAGATAAACCTATCGAAATCAGCAAAAACAAAGCTATCCAATGATCTATTAATATATAGGATATTTCATTTGAAAATATCGGACTTTGGTTGATATCTCGAAATCGGAGCGATATAGAAAAAAACTGAGTCCGCCACTGGATTGTG